AAAAAATCATTGAAGCGTTAACGCTTTGTAACTGGATATGGGTTCAGATATGATAAAGGGAAGACTCTGACTGACTAACTGGCAGCAGGCTACGAGCATGGCAAACACACACACACACACACAGAAAAGCAGAAAAAGCGCTGCACAAAGGCAGCAGGAGCAGGGGTCGACGGGGGCCACAAAATAAGAAGACAAATAAAGCGAAGCAAATGGCGCAACGAATTCAAAGCCAAACCAAAACGAAAACCTAACGAAACCAAACGAATCGAAACGAGTCGCGTCGCGTCGAGGCGAGTCGAGGCGAGTCGAGTTGAGGCGAGCTAAGAATTCGAATTGTGGCTGAAGGACATAGCCAAAGCAAAGGCTAAAGCCAGGGCAGGCAAGGGCGAAAAGAAAAGGCAAAAGGATTTCAGGCACTGGCACTGGAAATAGAAAGGAAGTGGGGTCACTGCACACTCACATATGTGCCAATGTGTGTGTGTGTGTGTGTGTGTGTGTGTGTGTGGCAGTCTGTCTGTCTGCCTGCCTGCCTGTTTGCCTGTGGGCTAGTGGGTGGTGTATGGGCGGTGTGCATGAACTGTGACACCACATTTTATGAATGTGCACGAACAGCAAAAGACGACAACAACAACAGCTGCAACAACAACAACAACAACAACAACAATGTGGATGTCAATGTGGACGAGGACAATCGTCAGTGAGGCAGCAAACGACAACGCTGCTGACCAAGTTGTTTGGCATTGCCAAGCCTGATAAATGCTAACAGGCACCACCACCGCCACCACTAGCCGGGGCTAGTGGCTATACAGAAGGAGCAGGCCGAGAGGGGGCGTTGGCCAGATGAGCTGCAAGTGCTGTGCCAGTGACTAAGTGCATGCAATAAATGCGAGCGTCCGGCCAGCCATGATTAAATGCAAACGCAAAGGAGCACGGCCAGCGAGCAGGAGCAGCAGGAGCAGCAGCAGCAGGAGCCAGTCGATATTGATAGCAACAGCAACAAGAACAACAACTAGTTGAAGGCAAACCACGCATTAACTGCAGCCCAGTTTATTTCATTCTTTTTTCTCTCCTCTCCCCTCTCTCTCTCTCTTTCTCTTTCTGTTTTTTTTTAAATCGTTGGTAAATGGTTCTCCATTCGATATATCCGAGCAGCTCAAATTGTGCACTTTTGCTCATCATTAGCGGTGGCCAGGCAGCAAATGCTTTATATGCCACATCTATATATAGATGACATGTGTCTGTGTATGTGTGTGTGTGTGCGTGTGTGTGAGTGTGTGTGATATGTGGTCAACATCACTTAAAGCAAAGCTGCTTAACAACTAGCTGCTGTTAAGCACGGGCATAACAAATGCTTAAGTGATGAGAAATTCATGAATGGTACGAGCTTAATATACTCAATGTATTCAATATACTCAATGTACTCAAAATACTCATATTTCTAGTGTTTCTTTAAGAACATTCTCTGAGGTTAACAGATCTCCCATAGTGATATAAAATAGATGCATATGAGAATATCATCCCAATCTATCGTACTTCAATCCAGATAATCAAACGTAGCAAAATCTATAAAGTCTAGGTAGTTCAGATGTCAGGAACAACTAATGAGAAAGTGGTTAAGCATATATATAAGACAATCAATTCATAGTTAGCCTCTGAATGCTGTTTAACAATAGTTTAGTCAATATTTGAATATGAGAATATCATCCCAATCAATCGTTCATCTATTAAGATAATCATACGTAGCAGAATCTATGAAGTCTAGGTAGTTCAAATATATAGAAGACAATAAATATATAGAAGACAATCAATTATTATTTAGTCTCTGATTGCTCTTTAACAATAGTTTGGTCAATATTTAATTGAAGCAGCTCAACTGGAGCAAGTGCTGTAAAATTCAATCACACGACTAAATCATAGCTCATAATGGCAAATAAAGATATATATAAAGATATATATTATATATATAAAGATATATATTATATTATATATATATATTTAGGCAGAATTTCTAATTATTGTGAGGAAAAGTCACTGAGAAAGTAGTGCGACTTTCAAGTCCATCAACAATCTGAATTCTCCAGAAGCTAGTGGAAAAGTGTCACATGATTCATATCTCTGATAGGTCTATATGTATATACAGTTGATAAGATATAAAACTTTACAATAATATTTAGAATATATATTTTAAAAATAATTTTAAATGAATAATAGGATTAACATGTTGTGTTATTAGTTTGGGAGAACGTGATGTTGGCGTAGGGCTGTAAACAGAATTCTGTTAAGAGCATAACTGGTGATGTGGAAGAGGAGCCTGTCCTTAACAGTAGATGTTAAATATATTACTAGTTATTCTTAGTTGACTCATACAAAGAAATACCAAACAACTTCTTTAAACTCTTTTTCAATCTTAGAGCACGAAGTCAGAATTATTAGGCAGCCCTAGTCTGATTCAGATGCAAAATAACCAAGTGAAAGATGAGTGATTCATGTGACAAGAGTCATAAAGAGCCAATGCGACTACAAACTCGAATTGATGCTGGGGAATGTTATCAAAGCAAGACCAAGCTGGCTACAAGAGCTACTCAAAGGCTTGAGTGAGTCATGGGGGAATTACGAAGCGGCTACAAGCCAGAAATCATAAGTTATATAATCAGCGGATGATTCCAACTAAGTGAACCTCGGCCCACTGCTCGTGAGTGGTGCAAAGTGGTGCAAAACTCATGGCGATGCAGCAATTAAGAACTCTATGTGGTTAGCAAGCAACGGCAGCTAGTCTCAAGCCATACGATTCATAATGCGCATTAAAACAATTGCGAGTGGGGGCCGGCTGGAACGAGTTTAGTTGAATTGCAGTAAACATGGCCGGGGAGCTGTGCGTTCCACGAATTGACAGCCGACAGTTTTGTGCCGACAATCAAATGGTCAACAGCAGACCACAACCCCCCTCCCTCCCTTTCTCCACCCCCTCTCCTAACCATTACTGAGCTGAAAGTACTTGAATATAGACGGCGAGGACTTTGTATGGGTTGTGCGAGCAGCGGGCTTCAGGCTCTCGATAGACGCGGACGGCTCTTTGGGCCTGGTCATATTGCACACTGCGCCTCGCATGAGTCAGAGAAGCGCGTGCGACGAGTCCTTTCAAGCAATATATATATAAATATATATATATATATACAAAATACAAAGGACGCAAAAAAATAGAAAACTGAAAACAACTGGAAAATACGTGAAGCCAACCACTGGCAATGCAACTTGTACGTAAGCAACCACCGACAACCACCGTCAACAGCCACAAAAAAAAGAGAGAGAGCACAAAAAAAAAAGCCTGGCGATGCGTTGGCTCTGATAACGCGCACGGCAAATGTTGACGGCTCGCTGACGAGCGACGTGTGGGAGTTGCTGTGGTGCAGCCGTGCGAGTGGGAGGAGGTGGGGTTGCTGGTGGTGTCGTTGTGAATATGGATGGATACAGTGCCTGCAAATGGTCGGCCAGCAGTGACAGCTAGAGGCCTCTGCCCTGGGTCACTACTCATAAATTGCTGGCAACAAAGACCAGCATGAATAGCGGCATTAAGGTATCAGGCAACACAGACACACACACACACACACAGAGACAACAGAAAGAGAGGGAGAGAGAGAGAGAGAGACACGGCAAAGGATATTCAGCTAGGCGAACATTGCAAGGCAAAACAAATTGCAAGCAGCACACACAAAACAAGCTAGCCAGTGTGGGTGGTTGGGTGGTGGGGTGGTGCGGTGGTGCGGTGGTGCGTTGAGCGGGTGGGTGGTTAGAGAACCTGAAACGGTTGCAGCAGCTGGCCAACTTATAAATCAGCTTAGTGTGTTGGCAGCCCTTAAAAACTAGCACTCTTGCTGCAGCCCTCCCGCTCGTATTATAGCTCTAACTATGTGTTAGTGTGTGTGTGTGTGTGTGTGTTGAATTTGATAGGTTTTTAGTTTTTGTTTCAGCGTATCTCTATGTTCTATTATATCATTTTTTGTTGCGCAAATTTGGTTTGAGACTCTTAGACAACAGCAACAAGAAGAAGAAGCAGCAGCAGCAGTAGCAGTAGAAGCAGAAGAAGAAGAAGCAGGCAGCAAGGCTGCAGAAATTGCTTTCAAATGCAGTTGAATAGGATCGATGAGCCGATTGAGCAGCTCGAAGAACCAAGCTCGAAGCTCACAGAGAGCCAGCCGAAAATCTCAGCTCAAAGCAGTTACCAATGTGTGTGTGTGTGTGTGTGTGTGTGTTTAAGCCGCTTGTATGCCATGGCAACCCTGGCACAGGAATTACGCTTACTGTTGTTGCTGTTGCTGCTGCTGCTGCTGTTGCTGTTAATTGCGGGTGATAACAATGCCTGGGCGAGCAATCAGCGTTGCGTGGCTTCAGCTGCTTTGCCCGTTTTCTTTTCGCTTTCGCAATAGTCATCATTAGTTAATGAGTTGTTGGTGCACACCTGCTGGCCAGCAGGTGCGACTTTCATATGCAAATTGCTCGAATTGCGTGTTGTGTAAGTGCTGCCAGGGTGGCGGCTGGCGGCTGGCGGTTGGCTATCCAAAACAAAAAAAAAAAAAGCCAAAAAAAAAGTAAAATAAAAGACAAACGAATAGAATGGGTGAAAGAAAAACCGTTCAATTAAGCCAATATTTGCGCACACTCGCGTTAAGCTGTGCGTGTGTGTGTGCGTGTGTGTGTGTGTGCGTGTGTTTGTGTAAGGACAAGCGGCGAGAACTGAGTCTCTTTTTCGCTGGCATATTTTGCGGCTCGCTTAGAGCAGCTCCACTTTGTCTCTGTGTGCGTGTGTGTGTGTGTGTGTGTGTAAGTGTAAGTATGTGTGCTAGGATTTTGGTATTGCATGACTCACCTGCACAGTGCCAACGAGCACGACGGCTGCCCAAAGGCTACGCAGCAGCAAATTACGACGCTGCGAGGCGCACATTGTTATGTCGATTCTTAACGTTTGTTTTGAGTTGCTTTAGTTTTTGTTTATATATATGTTAATATATTTGTTGTTGTTGTTGTTTTCGTTTTCAGTTTCTTTGTGTGTTTCGTTAACACTTTGTGTCCACTGTATGACCACTGTTGGCTGCAACTGTAACTGCAACTGCACGAATATGAAAACAATCGAAAAAAAAAAATTGAAGAGAGAGAGCAGAATGTAGAGCAAATGGCGTTGGGTATGATAATAGCAGTTGAGAAGCGCAGAGAAAGGCAAGCGCAATCAACGATCAAAGTTTTTATTGTTGATGTTGCTCGATTCTTTACGCTGTCCCCCCACAAAAAAAAAAACTATGCAACGGGATAGTAATGTGTGTGTGTGTGTGAGTGTGTGTATATGTGAATGTGCTTGAGCGTGTGTGTGTGCGTAGTAGTATTTGATTGTAGAACGTAGTAGAAACTCGTGTCATATATGAGAGAGCAAGCATGAGAGAGAGAGAGAGAGTGAGAGGGAGAGGGAGAGGGTGAGGTAGAGAGAGTCTACACTCAACTCTCAACTCTGGAGACCTCTCGCCACTCGCTATTGTCTACACTCGCTGCTCTCGACTAACTGCGTGGGCCCTGGCTCAACTGAAGGCAACTGAGTCGAGTCGAATTACTTATGCTCTCTCTCCCCCTCTCTCTCACTTCATACATGTGGCAGGTCTGTCTGTTTACAGTTGGGCAGAAAAACCCATTCGGACAAAAAACTATTTGCACTTGGCAGTCAGATGGAGTTCGTGGAAACTTATGGAAAAACAGCTGCAGTTAGTTCGAACACAGTTAAACGACGCCAGCACAGCCCACATTTAGTCACTCTCTGTCTCTCTGTCTCTCTCTCACTCTCTCACACTCGCTGGTCTCATCTGAAAGTACTGCGCACGCACAAGCACACACAGACAGAATCACACTCTTACACACACACACACACACTCGCTCTCTCTCTCGCTTTCACTCCTTGCGCCACTTGGAAAAAAATCCCGTAATTTTAAATCGAAGACAGAGCGAAAAAAAAAATGTTTTTCTTTTTTACACAATAAATTTATATGCATATATTTTTCTAGTTATTTATTTTCTCTTTTGTGTTTGGCTTTCTTTCATTGCTTTTGCTTATTTTTCACTTTGTTTCTGTGTTTCTTCTTCATTGATTTCGACACGCACTCGAAAAAAAAAACATAATCAAATACAACAACAATTTGAATGCCGACACAAGACACGAGCCAAAAAACACTTTGTCTCTCTCTCTCTCTCTCTCTCTTTCTCACTCTCTGTCACTCTGGCTCTCTTTCTCTTTCTCTGTCTCCGTTGTAGAACTTTGTAACTGGCACTCGCTCAAGTCCTTTAGCTGCCTTATCTATGTTCTCTCTCTCTTGCTCTCTCTGTCCTGCTCTCTCTCTCTCTCTGATTTTGTATATATATATATATATATATATATGTGTATGTGTGTGTGTGAAGCAGGTTGACAACCTTGTGCTGCTCAGTCACAGTTATGCTTCGAATGCACCAGGAAACTTGCTGAGTACCTAGCGCTGCGAACGCTCACAAACGACTGCAACTGGCGCTGGCTGGACGGATAACTCGTTGGCTTTGACGGAGTCGGTTCCCGGTTCATGGTTCTCGGTTCGCGGACTCGGTACGGCGACCTCGAGCCACAGCTTACGGCAGATTGCGCATGCGCCTGCCCATTCGAATCGATATTAAGTGCGAAACGTAGCTTCATGCACTTGCCACAGGGGATGGAAATTCGTAAGGGTGTGTAGGTGTGTGTGTGTGAGTGTGTGCTTGCATGCAAATGTGTTTGTGTGTAGCTCAAAGCAGCAGCAGCAGCAGCAGCAGGTGCTCTATATGTGCTTTAAGGGTTGCTGAACGAAAAGCTCGCCTTGCACTGGAACCAGCTGCGTTATCAGGCGAACTAGTTCACGTCTAGAGATAGCACTTCCTTAGCAATATTTTTGAAATCTATTACCAAAGATAGTTGATTGAAATAATTGGGAATGGCTTTTCAAATTGATTTGCTTAAGCTGCAGCAGAAATAATTGCGTAAATCAGTTTCAGCAAACTCATTGTTAGTCTAAATCGAGTTTTACATATATCATATCTGCCAGATTATTATAGTCACATTTTAAAAATAAAATTTGTCTAGTTTGTTCTTATCCCCATTTTACTGCAAAGGTTTGGCATGCTAGAGACTAAACTAGGCAAAGCTATAAAAATATTTATTAAAAATCTAAATTAACATCGCAAAAATATTAGATATTATAAGAGATATCACAGAACATTCCATCACCCCTTTAAATCAATAAATAATCTGTATGTCACGCAAAATTCGAGTTCGAAAAATTGTATGTATGTTTATAAGCACACAGAGCGGAACACATTCTCAAAATTCGTTAGTTCGAAAAATATCGGTTAAAGTTGAGCTCATTCGAAATTGGGATATTTGAACTGAATCATTCAAGTCAAAGTCCAACTCAAAAACATATATATCTCTATGAAAAATTGAGTTAAAATAATATAAAAACACCTACATAATAATTACAATTATTATTATAAAAACTAATACATATTATATTATTTTAAAATCTATTAATGGCATATTTAAAAATGTATCTATTTTATTTTAATTTCAAAATGTGTATGATTAAATACAAATATAAAAATATATTGAAAAAATCAACAAATATTTATATTCAAATTTATATCTGTGCATATAAATATATTTTTATAATTTGTAAGAAAAATATTTTGAAACATCCAGTAAAAAAACATTTAAATACATATAAGGGATTTTGATTTCCACAATCATTTTTAACTTAAATTTTTGGTTTTGGCAGAGGAGTCTTTTTTATTTATTTATAATTCGAATCTGAGAACTAAAAAAGCGAATACATAAAAGCTGATGTATGCTGAAATGTAATCAAAACAATATGATCTCAAACTTTATACAAATCAGCCAAATATTTGTTTATTGTTGGTTCTAATAATAAATCTGGGCACTAGTTTTGTGTATATTAGTTGCTTAGCTCATCAAACTCTCTGTTCTATCATCCTTAGACTTCATTAAAATTAATTTACAAAATATATGCGTTTATATGTATGTATATATGAAGTATTCAAAAAAAAAAAAAAAAAAAAAAAAAAAAAAAAAAAAAAAAAAACAACAAAAAAAAAACAGATTATTTGTTTCATGTGATATCATAATTTATAGTTCAAAAGTCATATCTTATATATAGAAATATTGCTAGCTATTAAGCGCAATTGAAAATATGAAAATTGAGGAAATCAATTTCAATCCGATTTTTGAAGATCCTTTATAAAAAACTGTTTTCTTTTTTTTTTTAATAATATATAATAATAATATAAGTAATATAATTACATAATTTAGAAAAATGTACATAAATAATATACAGTAATATAATGTTTTTGAGCAATAATAAAAATACGTTGTAATATGTGCAAACATATTTTAAATAACATGCGAAACGTAAATATAATTCTTTCCATCGAGAATATACATTATAAAATCAGAATCAAGAAAAAACTTTAATTTGAATGAAAGCAGAACTTTTTTTTTTAATTTAATGTAGCCGCGGTTAAATTACAATTTTCATTGCAAACGACGGAGAGCTCTCTAAAGTTTAATTTGACCGAAAATGCTCCCAATATTTGATCATATTTCATGCGTAATTATTTATTTCTTTAACCGTCGACCTTAACTTTACCGATGAATTCGTGCTGAGAATATTTTCCACTCTCTTTAAAATATACCCTGTTCCAACTAAATTAGGAGTATATTGGCTTGTAGAATTTTAAATATTTTTTCGAGGTATGTACAACTTGGCACATTTCTGTTATAAATACCACCAGCTATAATCAGACATCCGATTTTAATTGTATAATGCTTAAAAATTATTTAGGGATACACCTATTGTGGTTATTGAAGCTATTAAACTGTCACCTCGTTACAGTGTATCGAGCAGTCGGTACTTTTGCTGATTGCAAACATATATATAGAGCGGTTTGTGTCACGGCTATATGATTTCTCCTGGTGTAAATCTTAGCTGTGTGCTTTTCAGTGGTTTCTGTCTATACTTTCGTTGAGTGTTAATATGTCGTTAAGTACTATTGCACTGAGGTGAAAAGCTATACGAAAGCAAAGGAATCGCAACTTTTAAGATTGATTATGTTAGAACTGTTAAATTTAGAGCTTTATTTCTAATAATATGGGACTTATTGAACTTGAGATATGAAAACTTATTTCTGATCGCATAAAAATCAAATCTTAAATTAATAATAACAAGTTGATACCACCTATTATAGGCAGAACTCTGTTCATATTTAGTATATGAAGTTAAGGGTTATAGAATTATCTCTAATCTAATAATCAAGAAGCCTTACGCCTCTAGCTAGATAGGTGAATTGGCTATATACCGAAGCCAACTCAGTTGCCGTATATATATGTACATGGTATTACGCTAAACCTGCTTTTTAATGAGAGCTCAACTCTATCGGAACTCGCGAGTAAGATTTAATAAAGGAAAATGCTGCATCATAAAATCTAATGTCTTCATCAGCTAAAGGTTAATTCTAGAGAAGTGGAATTTCATTGCAATAGCCAGGCAACTGTTGCTGCCAACAGCGAACCCATTAGACCCGTCGGTAATTAGATCTATTCGAATCGCATTTGGCACAACGCAAAATGCGGCTTATCAACAATCGTTTGTCTACAGCAGCAGCAGCAGAGGCAGAGGCAGAGGCAGCAGAGCTGGGCCTGGAGATCAAGTTCAAGCTGGAGCACAGCTGGTTGGCAGTCGCAATATGAGATCGGCAGTGCTTGCACTGTTCTACGTGGGCTTGTGGCTCAGCTTGGGGGCTCAGGTGCTGGGCAAGCGCTATATGCGCTGCGAGCTGGCCAGGAAGCTGCTCGAGCAGCACAGCTTCGAGCGCAGTCTGCTTAGCAATTGTGAGTGACAGACAGAGAGCGAGAGAGAGAGAGTGGGAGAGACTTAACTTCCGCACTTTCAGGGATATGTCTGCTGGAGCATGAGAGCGACTTGGACACAGCCAAGGTGACAAGCAATCCGAATGGGTCGCGCAACTACGGCCTCTTCCAGATCAATGGACGCTACTGCCAGGAGAGTCGACGTGGCGGCGTTTGCAATGTCAAGTGTGAAGGTGAGCCGCTCTTAGCGCGCCCCACTGCCATATACCCCTATTAATATAAGTGCTCTGGCTTCATTCAAGACCTGCTCGACGAGAATCTGCGTGAATCCGCCGCCTGCGCGAAACGCATTCAGGCTTCCGACGGATTTCGCCACTGGAATGGCTGGCAACGCTTCTGCCGCAACAGCCAGAACCTGCCCAATCTGAAGCTCATATGCGGCATATAACTTATTCAATTACTCCCACACAGAGTCAATCTCTGTGCATGCTTAGAGGAATTGGCATGTGCTCAAAATTACAGTGGCGTACGAAATAAGCAGCTAGCTTCAAGGGAATTATGAATTATTATGATTGTATACGAAATGTGATCCAAGAGTTTTTTAAAATTAATTACAAATTATTTTTATTTATATATATAATTCAACTATTAACATTACTATTTTCATATATTTTTGTATGGTAAATCTCTGATGAAATATAAATGCATTTTTTTAACGAAATTTTTTGTAATATGATAAAAGCTATATAAAATATATATATTATAAAAAATATATTTTAATTTATATGTTTGATTGGTTAATAATTTAAAAAAATATATATAAATACGTATATTTCTTTTTTCTGATTAATAAAAAAAATATGTGTTGACTTTTTAAACTATATAAAAACTTTTTTTTTACTATAAAAGAAAAATAAAATAAAAAATGTTAGATTTATTTATTTTATTTTTTTTTTTACCAAAAATATTTTGTTGTCTATTTAAAATATATCAATATAATATATTTAAAATGAAAATATTTTGCTTGATATAAATATATATATATATATATAATATATATATAGGTATATATGGGTTTTTAAAAGCTTTATTTAAAAAAAAAAATATATATATATATATGTGTAAAACAACAATAAAATAGTTTTCATAAATCCGTAATTTATTTATTTAAAAATCATTATTATCGCCCTAGTTTTAGTGCATATAAATATATCATGAGTTTTCTCTCTCCGTATTTATTTTTAGCTTTTTTTTTTTTGATTTAAGAGAGTATTACACTGTGTGGTGTCATAAGCTTAATATGCGAGCTGGGTCGACTTTTATGGCCACTACTGTAGGCAGTTGTTTACTATCTAGTATGCACACTTGCACAGTCAAAGCTCTTTGAACATTTTGCGAGTTAATCTTTTTGTGGCTCTCTCTCACTCTCACTCTCGCACTCTCCCACTCTCTGTCTCTCTTCATTTGCGCTCGCTCGTGTCGCTCGCGCTCTGACGCCGTCAGCTTATGGGGCTTTGGGGCCTCTGCCCGCTTCAGGGGGATTTCATTAAGTGACGCCAGCTGAACCGAGGCAAACGTTTGTGAAACTTTGTTCGCCTGCTGCAGTGGGCAACGTGTTGTTTAGTTCGATTTGCTTTTTGTTTTTGTTGTTCATGTTGTGATGAAATTATAACAACTAGTGCGCAGTGGTTGCATAGAACATACTATATCATAATATATACATAGTATATGCATATGTATTTATAGTATATTTATAATATATGCATTGATCTATGCATGTGTGTCTGAAACACATATCTATGTGATTCATCCAAACTGTCCATATCTATATACATAAGTGTGTTTATAGTTGTCTGAGCTGCAATAAATCTATCTCGAAAGATTGTGCTATTCAGTCTCTTAGCTGCAGTGTGCCCGAGTTGTTGTCTCTACGATTCAGTGCAGCCAAAGTATTAAAGAAATGTCTCTATTTTTTTATAAGTACATAATTGTGCTATGAACGAAACACAAGACAAGCTAAAGGCATTGAGATATACCTGTAGTAAACGTATATCTAGTAGTGTTTGAATGAAATTTTCAAATTATGTTCCACTTGATCCGAACTGTGAAGTGATCTAATGATAATATATAAATATTTATATATAAAAATATAAATATGGGATCAAGTAAAGGTTCTTAAATCTGCCCTTAAGAAACCTAATTTTATGCTTATTTTTTATTTATTTTTTTTTTTACAACTTTTGTTTTTATAGCCTCAAAATAAAGCAGACTCAGTCGTATATAAATCTTTTAAGTTTTTATAATGTTATAAAAGTCCAATGCTAAAACTAAATTGAATAAGTGTTGAATAGCCTGTGTGAATCTTTTGAAATGCTTCTCAAATCTCATTCAAAATTTCTTATGAAATAAAGTAAATGATAAAAATATTTAATGGTACTGTTAAATTTAAGTGCATCTATAATAAATAATATGCTCAATGGGGTAACATGCTAAGCTCGAACTCAGTTCTTCGACCTAACCTCTTAGGTGTTCAACTTAACCTCAATTGTTCAACCCAGTTTTAGCAATAAAATACCATCAATATATTGACCAATTGACTAATGCATGAATAGCCCAATGCACAATTATTGTGGCTGTGGAGCATTAAGTTGATCTGTAGTCAATATACATATGTATGTAATTACATGAATTATGAACATGAACATGAATCAGTTCAATTAGTGCATGAACCGTTTCGCATATGGAACTGTGGAGCACTACATTGAACTCATTAACAGATAGATTATTAATAGATAGATCTTCCAATTAAAATTAAGCAACGTATGGGACTTTGGCTATAGAACCATCTAGAACTAAGAGGGCTTAAACTGGAATTTTATCAGAAATGCTAATGACAAATTTCGTTTGCTGATTCATGAGGTTGCTAGAGAGTTCCCTGCATATTTCACCATATTGTGAAATTCAAAGTCAAGTAAATAAGCAAATTGATGTCTATAGCAGGGAAGGTGTATGATATTATGTATATTATATATATATATACATATATACATATATATGCATGTTCTGCATGTTGTTAATTGTCCATATGAAGAGGGGCTATTTTTATAGGCCCAAGCTCTCACGATTTGGCTGCGATGCATTAACTGGCTCCACAGCTCAGTCAAGCGCGCGCCCTCTCTCGCTCCCACTGTTTATCATTATCTTTAGCGCGCTCTCGCTCATTATCGCCCTCTCTCTCTATTTGCGGCCGGCGTCGCTGCCAGCGTTAAACGTTTACAAACGTTGAGCGGCGCGTATAAAAGTTGCCGGCCGGCAAGCGTTCAACATCAGTTAGAAGCTTGGGGCTTTGTAGGTCACTCAAAGAGCGACAGCGAGAGAGAGAGAGAGCAATAGAGAGAGATAGCTAGGAAGGCAACACAAGAGAGCAGAGCAATCGCAATTCAAAGACATCAACAAGGATAAGCGTAGCATATTTGCCCAACATGGCTGAGGTAGCGAAACGCAACGAGCAGCTGCTGGACGCTCAGGCGGAGGTCCTAGATTGTGACATTGAGTTCGAGGAGGAGCAGCCGGAATCCACGCAGCGGCCCGCGGCGCACAAGAACAACAAGCTCATCAAGAAGGCGCTGAAGAAGGCGTACAAGGCGCAGGCAATGCTGCAGGAGGCTATGGAGCAGCTGGCCGCCGCGCAGGCCACGGATGACAGTCGTCAGTCCAAGCATGCCAAGAAGCACAAGAAGCACGAGAAGAAGCAGCAGAAGAAGCAGGACAAAAAGCAAGCCAAGAAGCAGGCCAAGAAGCAGGCCAAGCAGCAGCTGACGGAGCAGCAGAAGGAGCAGCAGAAGGAGCAACCGAACCAGAGCCAGGATCCGAACGAGCAGAAACGCAAACGCAGCAACAGTGTCAGCTCCACTTCCTCGAGTTCTTCGAGCTCTTCGAGCTCCTCGAGCTCCTCGAGCTCCTCGAGCTCCTCGAGCTCTTCCAGCTCCTCGAGCTCTTCCAGCTCCTCCAGCTCCTCGAGCTCCTCCAGCTCATCGAGCAGCTCGAGCTCCGGCTCGGAGCAGAACTTTGGCCACGGACTCTATGGCTGGGCTGGACGACACGGACGACCTCGTCATCATGGTCGACGCGAGCGTTCCAGGTCGCTGTCGCATGGGCGCAAGCATGGCCACCATGGCCATAAGCACGGCCATGGTCCGCATCATGGTCATGGCCACGGTCCGCACCGCGGTCCCCATCACGGACCCCATCACGGTCCCCATCACTTTGGACCGTACCGCTTTGGGCCGCATAACCTGATAGCCCGAGGCGGTGGCTTCGGTAGCTACGCTTGGCCAGTGATGGAGGAGCAGTTTTTTCGGGGCAGCGGCCTGCCGTGGCCCGTGGAGGCGAGCGCGGCTTGGCCGAGGAGCCGATCGAGATCTAGCTCGCGCTCCGTTTCACCTGTCAAAGCCGGTGCTCGCCAGAGCAGGGCCGACAAACGGGTCAAGCGCCGTCAGGGACATGGACACGGACACGGAGATGGCCACAAGGGTGGTCACCATGAGCGTCGAGTGAGTCGCTCCAGTTCCAGCTCCAGCTCCAGCTCCAGCTCCAGCTCTAGTTCCAGCTCCAGCTCCAGCTCCAGCTCCAGCTCCAGCTCCAGCTCCAGCTCCAGCTCTAGTTCCAGTTCCAGTTCAAGTTCTAGCTCTAGCTCTGCTAGTGAGAAGAAGCAGAAACGTCGCCATGTACGTCGTCCAGGATACGGCCACCGTCGCGCTCCTCATCATGGACCGCATCGGGCAGACTTTGACCTCGAGTCTTTACCTCTTGACGACTTCGAACAACTCTTCATAAAAACGTCCCATAAAAAATCCAAGAAGCACGGCAAGCATTCCCACGACAAGGGCAAGGGAAAGGGCAAAGGCAAAGACAAGGGCAAGGGAAAGGGCAAGGGAAAGGGCAAGGGTAAGGGCAAAGGCAAGGATAAGGGCAAGGGCAAGAACAAGGGCAACGACAAGCAATGAAAGGATTGGCCTGATGCACTGCCTCCGATTCCACTGACTCCCAACGATATCTAACGAAATGCTGCCGCATTACGACTTTGTTTTTCATACAGTTCGCGTATATCAACAATATATATATCTTCAATAAAACAAAGAAAACTATTAAAAAAAAAACATTAAAAAAAAAAAGAAATTATATAAAATGAAAAAGTATTAAAAAAAATCCTATTTATCTACACATATTTTTTTTTGCAATTATATTCTAATGTTTATCAAAATAAATATTATAAACGAAACAAAGCAAATAATTTAGTTTCACTCGGGAAATGGGATTATATTAATGGGTTTGTTTGTATATATGTATATAAATATGTATATCTTTATATAAATACATTTTTTTTTGTTCACAGCAAATTATAAATCAATTTTCAGTTTTTGTTGAGCCCCTGGCTGAATAAGCAATTATTTATCTAGAATAGTTTTATGCTTATTAAGCTCCAAAATAATCCACTTAATCACGCAATTTGCATTCTGCATTTGCCAACCAAAAGTATTTCAAGCTCTGACTATATTTTATATAGTATGCCACATTAAATCATTATTTCATTTCATTTAAAGAATGCAAAATTTAAATGTGAAATATTTATAAAATGGCGTGATTTAGGCAGAGAATATTCGAATCGAACATATTCAATTTTTTATTTCTTTCAGATATTTCAGGAATCGTACAGAGTTTCAATAGAAAATTGAAATAGTTTAAAGCTCCATATTTGATGAAATAATTTGTGTCATTAAAAGCAAGCATTATATGTATATCTATAACAGGCTGTAAAGCAATTTGCAGATATATATTTTTTGTTTGGTTTTTACCTCGAACTTAAATCTCATTTTATTTAAATTTATAACAAGCAGTTTATTTAAAATAGTTTATAGTTTGTAGTTTTTATACTGGAAAATGCATCTCTTGCAGGGCTAGCATAGAGTGGATTGCGAATGGATAGACCACATCAAAATAATACGCTCAGTTCACTTAAGTGAAGGAGCATAACAATTGTTTTGAATAGTATTACTAATAAAAATCTCACATCTAATGTGAATTATAAAGTTGTATTGCAGCTTATCGACAAGTACTTAATTACAGTGACAAAAGCCCATTCACATATTTGTTGAGGGTCCTGTTTAAATCGAATGACGACTAGCTGCGATTGCAGCAGAGCAATTAATACGAGCTTTGTTATAACACATAATAATGGAAAATAAAGCAAACTCAATTACGCATTGCTTTGCACTATAATTTGAGTGTTTTGTCAAATGGATAGATAAGAGCTAAAGAAGCGAGGGGAGTCCCGAACTATAAATACTCTACAAATAACATCATTTGTTATGAATATACAAGTAACATGAATGGGCTTACATATGTACACTCATAAATATCATATCTATAATTTATATGAATATATATATGTATATCTTGAAATGACATTCGTAATGCCTTTCCGATAACACTCTGAGCAAACACAGTGCATGAGCTGGCGCTTGTTTTCGTTATCGCTAACATGAAAGGGGCTTTTCCCAAATACCATGATAAATCGGAGAAAAATAGATTCGACAAGTCGATTTCAATCGCTTTGTAGCTTTACTTGAATATTTGTTCACCCTCTACGCACTCATTGCACAATGTGCATTGTTCAGATCGACTTACTGTTGGAGGGGCCTGGGCATACCAATGTGTTCCCAGCGGGGAAAACTGTTCTCAAATGCCGCCTAGTCGACATAGCAAGTCACCTAACTGAGCAGTGAGTCGTGAGAGAAAGCAGAAATTTTATAGAAAATACATTCTATTTAATGTATATATTTTGTTAAATCAATAAACAATAATCTATGAAATATAAATAAATCATAAAATGGGTATATGAAATTTTAGTTGATATTTAAATAATTTATTTTTTTTATTATTATTAAATAATATTATTCCCCAACTCAATGCCTAGGAATTTCACTTGTAGTGAACTCATATTTGCTTGGGAACAGTTCAGTCGCACAGTGCCTTGCTTAAATGGTGTTAAGAGCGCGCGTAAGAGAGCAAATACTGGGAACAGTTGGCTCATGCTGGGAACAGAATTGCCCCTTTGGGAACAGTTTGTTGGCATTGTGTGGCCACAGGCATACCAGCTGTTCGCTATGCTTCGTGGCTGCTGGAACTTAATAATGCAACAACCGCACACCCACACCCACACACACACACACATACTGACCTGTTCACAGCACGAAATGTAAATATAATTTAGCAATTCTCAGATTTCACATTTTAATTGCAGGCGATGTGAGCACACAAAACTAAGCAACGCCACTGTGGACAGCCACCGCATGTGTAAGGGTGAGAGGGGGTGTGGTGGTCAGGGGTTAAGGGTTGATGAGGTGCTACGGTCATGAGCTAAGCTGCGAACGTTGCTCGCGTTTCACCTGACACTTTTTTTGTTTTTATCAATTTGGTTCCCTTTTCTGGTTGCTTTTGCTGGTATGCCTCATCAACAGGTGTGCGTGGGGATATGTGTGTGTGTGTGTGCTTCAGTAAATGAAAAATTTCAAAGCGAAACTTAATTCAATTCTTTGACAATGTGACAGAAGCAGGAGCCCTTTTTTTTTTTTTTTTTTTTTTTTTTTTGTTTTTTTTGTTTTTTTTTTTTTTTTTTTTTTTTTTGCTGTTCGCTTCGGTTTTCGCTCTTTTTTTTTTGGCAATTTTTTGCAACGGGGCTTCATTGTCAGCGGCAGCGACATCAACTGTGCTGCGAGCTGTATGAGAACTGCCAATCCGTGATTTATTTTGAGCGCACTGCTTCATTTTATTTTCAATTTACTTAAAACACAAAATAAAAATAAAAATGGTGAAACGAGCGCGCGCGATTGCGGCGATGGCAGCACATAAAATGAAATGCAGGAAGTGGATTTTTGAGCGGAAATAATTTTGCCACATGTTGGCAAATAAACACAAGCCAACTTGAAGATGCTGTGGGCCACCCAGCCGGTCTATGGCCATCGGGCGGTGGCTCAGAGCCAGTCAGCCAGAGAGTCAGCCAGCCGCCTTTATCGCTAACAGCTTAAAATTCAATATAAGTGCACGATTCTCTTCCCGCTCCATTTGTGCTTTGTGTGTGCGTGTGTGTGCGTCTGTGTGTGTGTGTGTGTGTGTGTGAACATTCTCTTCTTCGCTTTGTTTTATTAACTTTTGGGGCAGGCAAAGCGAATGTGTGTGCGTGTGCGTCAAATGTGATTTTGTGGCAAGCGTAGCTAATGCATAAGCTGCCACACAGCCTCCTCCGTCTCACCTCTACACACGCTGAATTTAAAGCTAAGGTGAGGCATTGATAACAATGCCAAGATAGTTGTTATTGTCGAGCTGAGCGTTTAGCATTTGGCCTTAATTAGAAGTTCTCCGTGCAGCCAAAAAGTATGCAACACTCATTGAAAGCCCCATGCGCATAATCAACGATGGCAAAGTGTGCGAGATAAGAAAACAAAGCGAAGGAGCAGCACATAATTGAAACAACAGCAGAGAAGTGAAGAGATTCGTGCCATGCAAATGGGGTTAACTGGGGCCAGCTAACAAATGAGCTGGAGAGTGGCCTTATGGGGTATGCTACGTGTGGTAGGTGGCAGTCGCATCAACAACAATGCGGTGTCTGGGTGAAGCTGCCTGACAGGCCAGAGGAGAGTAAAGCAGAGCAGAGCAGAGCAGAGCTCGTGACGCATTTGGTATGCAACACTTGTCCGGCAACCTTAACAGTGTCAGCCAGCGAAGGCAAACACAAAAACAAACCAATACACGACCAGCTCGGTGTAGCAACAACAACTGACTTTGTTTTGTGTGCGTGGCAACAAAAAGTGCAGCTGCCGGGGCAACGCTGCGTATGCGCAATGTGGGCGCAAACAATGCAAGAGCTGGCGAACGTGCGAACGCAGCTCCTGCTTCTATTTTTAGTCTCTCTTCCTGGACAGGGGGCGTCACTTGTGGGCGTGGCACCGGTCACAGCATAGGCGTGTTGCTGCTGCATCGTGGCAAACATTTTAAATGCAGCCATATTCAAGCAGCTCATTCTCCACTGCCCTGTGGAAAGTTGAGGGCGGGTAGCTCAGACTAAAATATATAATTTAGTATTATGATTTATTTACATTCAATATTTTATATTATATATTTTAGATGTTATATTTTATATTTTATATTTTATATTTTATATTTTATATTTTATATTTTATATTTTA